CCGCCCGCCGGTCGCACCACTGCGGCCCGCGCGTGACGTCACCCCCCCGAAACGAATACACATGTGCATATGTGTGTGTGTCTATCGGTGGATGTGGGTGTGTGGATACCTTGTATTAGACCGACAGAAATTGCAAAAAAATTATATATAGATATATATGTGTGTGTGTGTGTATGTATGTATGTATGTGTATAAATGTGCATATATGTATACGTGTGTATGTGTGTGTGTGTGTATGTGTAGATAAACTCTTGGTTCAGAAAGGATACCTTTTATTAGGCCGACAAAAATTGCAAAAAAAAGATAGAGATATATATATATATATATTTTTTTTATATATATATGTGTGTGCGTGTGTGTGTATATACACACACACGCACACACATATATATATAAAAAAAATATATATATATATATATCTCTATCTTTTTTTTGCAATTTTTGTCGGCCTAATAAAAGGTATCCTTTCTGAACCAAGAGTTTATCTACACATACACACACACACACATATATATATTTCTGTCCACGTAGTAGATCGGCACAACTTAAGAACTGGGATGATAAATTTCTAGCTACATTGTGTGTGTGTGTGGGTGTGTGTGTGTGTGTGTGTGTAATATAAATGATGTAGCTAGACATTTACCATCAGTTTTCGATCAGTCCACCAGAATACTTGCTTGAGCCTTGTCCCGACAGTGCAAAGTGCTGATGAAGGATCTGTGACTTTCTTTCCTTACAGCTCAGACTGCTCGTGAAAAGTGTGCAGTCGGTTGCCTGTGTCTGCTTAAATTGTAAGACCAGGACACGGTCTGGTTTATGTTGTCCCTCTCCTCTGAGCGTAGGATCCGCTCATCCAGCGCTCGCGCGCGCTCTCTCTCTATATATACATATATTGCAATTTCTGTCGGTCTGATAAAAGGTGTCCTGTCTGAACCAAGCTTTCTAGATTTTTGCATTTCTTTGTGTCTCGGACCAACACAGCTACCACCAAAATCCATCCCATAGAAAAGAGTTGCTTTGACTCCTGCCCTCCCTAATGTTTAAAAGCGGAGGGTGCATCTGTAGTGCTGCAGATCCACCCTTGCCTGGGGTAGTCCTGCTTTGTGGAAACAGGCCTCTCTTTTTGGCCGGGGAACAGGCAGCAAACCTCCCTTTTTACACAGGGATTTGTGGGGTTTTATTTTTTATTTGGGCCTGCGTCACTTGATGGATATCCGTCACATCCTCCTTGTTCGGTTGGTGTTTATTATACACCTGCCAAATAAGATACTGCACCGGGTGGGATCAGGAGCAGGGCAATTCACGCTGTCTGCAAGTGTTTGAACACACGTGTATCTCTGAATGCCAGGTGTTTTGTGTTTTAATCGCACCTTTGCAGGGGGGGAGGGTGAACAGGTCTGTCCAAAAGAAGTAAAAACGCAACCCGATCTGGAGAGCACTTAGGTCTGATGGAGATGGGCACTGTCTAAAAACCCACGACAGATAACCTGTGCTCTCTGTACCACCCACTCAGCACTCATCTGAATGGTGAGCAGCCCTTACCCCTTTCCCAAAATAAGTCACAAAGTGTTCAGGCAGAAAGCTCCCGTTACAGCCTGTCTCCAGTCAGCGCTCATTGTGCATAATGTTTTGTGGGTCCCTAAGCTTGCAAGTGTGCAACATATTAAGTATCATACAAGACGGCTTGTTGGAAACTCAAAAATGGCCATAGCAAACCAAACCGGAGAGCCGTTCCATCTCTGATGATGGCCAATATCCAATCCTTAAAGCTGTGCCGATCTACCAAGCAGACACTTCTCAGGTAACCTGCTTGCAGCAGAAGTTTCTTTCTAACCCCTGTATCTTCCTGTCCTTCCCCAGCACACAAATATATTCTAGATAACCCACAACAGCATATAACATTACAGTAAGAAACCTCTAAACCTACCCCAGTACAAGCAAACGGGAGTTTTACCATTAGCTTCAAAGGAAACAGGACCCAACCCCCAAAAAGCCTAAATTCGCCGTGTCGGAGCAAACACAAGCCATGAATATACAGTAACAGAAAAGGCCGTTCCAAAGCATCTTTAGGGGAAAGCTTCACAGGCTTGGAAACACTTGTGGGCAGGTCTACTTTTTGGTCAGTAGCTTTGAAATGCTCGGTCATATGTGAAACTGGTGATGCTAAGGATCACTTAGCAAGGACTGAAACACTAACATCAGACAGAAGGCAGGTAGAGAGGTGCACCTTATGGACTAACTGAATCAAAGATGTATAAGCTTGCATGAGCAAGAGCTCATTTCATCAGACGGCCAGCTACCTTGCTGACGTCTTCAGAGCCGTTCACAAACAAACACAGTCTGTGAGCTTTGAAGTCCATGCCTAGCAAATCTGCATATAATTCACTGACAGCAGATACCGAGCATTACTCTTCCTGCGCTGTAATGTTCTGTTAATTCTTGGAAAATCTAGCCTTTATTAAATACAAAGAAAAGTCCTTTGTAGCTGTCATAAAGCAATATTATATATTCTGCTGTCACCAGACTTGAGTAGTTTCGCTGTACATGACTTCCTTGTTTTATTAAGCCGAGACATGAAATACAGTGTAGTACGGAAGGGGTAAAGATTGTTGCTGGAGCTGTTAAAACAATGTCATCCCATAATGTGTCACCGCAAGCAATGTTGCTAGTATAGTAAAAATAAGGAAAATGGAAGAGGGAGCCTCAAGGTCTGTAAGGGTTTAGAGCTTACATTGCTTGCTTTTGGGGGTTTTTTTTAACCAGATTTGGGATCGTGTTGCTGTTTCCTGTTGATCGTGTCCTCGCTTTTTTATTTGATGACGTTGTTTTCTTTGCTCTCTTACCCATTTTCCTTTCCTCCTTTAAAAAGGGCGAAAACACCTATAAATGGAAAGTGAAACGAATCCATCCGTGTAACGTCAAAGACAAAGATGGTGCGAGTAGTGTTTAAAAACAGCCAGAGGTTTCCAACTTAAAAGGGTCCCTGCAATACCTAGAAGCTCACTGTGATCAAGCCCCCATTGCTCTAAGCGCTGTAAATCCAGAGACGGGCTGCAGGTAGCAGGAGCAGCATTTCCAGGTACGGTGCATGTGAGCAGACCATCCTTCCACGGGAAAGCTGGGTGTACAGCCGAGACATGTCTTTAATCTCTTGACTCACACACTTCAAGGTTTTGTCTACTGGACCATGCTTTCTTATATCATAGTTTGGCAGCTAAATAACTGGCTGATTTTTCAGAGGTACCGAGTTTGGAGACATCCAAGGTTGTGGATGCTCAGCACTTCTGAAACAAACCAACCAACCAAAAACCCTCGCAAACCCACCCCCCAGGCCACTAATCATTGGGTGCCAAAGCATAGGACATCGTTTAGACAACTACAGTGATTTCAGTGAACTTACACTAAACTGAAGGAACACAATAACGACTGAACCCTGAAAAGCATAGAGATTTTAATCTTGACCGGTTTCCCTAAAAAGGCACGAGGGACATCGCACAGTACCTAGAAAATGACTGAAAAATATACTGGCTGTCTCCAAGCCTCACCAACACCAAACAGTCCTCAACAACAAGCTGCACTATCACTCCTTAGTGCTGGCAAACATCCTGTGTAGCAACCCACGCAGGCACAAACAACAACGGCTTCCAGTTTGCACGCCTCCCACAAAGTGGTTTCGAGAGACGCTGGGAATGAGAAGCACCATTTTCAAAGCTGTTCAGATAAAGAGAAGTGATTGCAGCGAGGCTCAGACCATTTTCAACAAACGGTGCGTATCGCTCTAATATACTGTATCATTCTTCTGCTTTTTCCTTAATCAAGGTCTTTGACACTATCATTTCACACAAGACAATTTGTAGCCCTTGGTGTTTTGCTGCAGTGCAGACTCTGGCAATTTGGAGACCCGGTGGTCTGATGGGTGAAGCAAGATACCTGGATTATGTTCTTCATTTGGCAGTCACTAACCTTGCTTTACCTTTGCTTTTCTCTCCACACAGTAAGAATAATATTTACCCATCTCTGTGAAGCACTTCAAAGTCCTTGAATGAAAATGCTGTAAAAGCTGAAGATGTTATGGGGAGACAGGGAGTTTTACTGTGCTGTTGCAGGCCCGGGGTGGGAGCAGTGCTGACCCTGCTAAGTGCCTGTGCTCCACTCTCGGCCAGGCAGAGTGGGAGCAGGATGGGCTGGCGGGGCTGGGGACAGGATGGCGGGGCCATAACAGTGCAGGGCTGCAATCTGCTCCTCGCACGCCCGTGCCCATTACGGGGACGTGCGGGCAGTGGATCGTGGCTTTGCCCTCGGCCCCGCACTGTCACTTCCCCGTGATCCTGACCCCAGCCCCAGCCCCACACCTGGACACTGCTCCCCGTCCGCCTGCAGCCCTATCCCATCCGCCTGGCCAAGTGCACCCTGCCTGTGTGGGTCTGGGCTGCTCCCCACCAACCCACTCCGTCCAGTGACCCCAACAGTGGGTGTGGGGCGGATGGGCTGGGTAGCATGGCCAGGGCCGTGTCTGGCAGCAGTGGTGGAGACTGGCAGCGGCAGCTTGAAGGAGCCGCGGCTGTGGGGGCTGCTGGGAAGTGAGTCTGGCTGCCATGCTGCCCCAGCCCCCCTGCACACCCACGACCAGCTGCTGGTGCTGTGGCCCAGTCTGCCCCTCACCACCTGGGCTGAGCAAGGCCGAGGGACCTGCTGCGGCCAGATAAAATCCCTTGGTGGGCTGGATCTGGCCCACCTCTGGTCTAGATCTGGCCCACCCCTGGTCTAGTGGTTAGACAGCATCAACCATCAGGACTCCCGGCTTCTGTTCTCAGATCCACTCCTACAGTATTATGCGACCTTGAGCCACTCTCATCCATTTTTGTCTCATTTGAACCAGAGTAGTTATCTTGTAGTTTAATATTCCAGATTATTTTATTCTTAAATCCCTACTGCTAGGTAGTATAAAGATCCTAAACCTTCAAACCAAGGTATGCACATATTGGGTATCTTGTATTAAGTGCTGTAGGTAGTGCCCGATTGTATATAAAGGAACAACGTAGAGCCTGATTGTACATAAGGGAACAACGTAGAGTCTGATTGTATATAAGGGAACAACGTAGCTAAACATTTATCATCGGTTTTTGCTCAATTCACCAGAATACTTGCTTGAAGCTTGTCCTAACAGTACAAAGTGCTGATGATGGATCTGTAACTCTTTCTTTCCTTACAGTTCAGACTATTAGTAAAAAGTGTGCAGTAGGTTGCCTGTGTCTGCTTAAATTATAAGACCAGGACACGGTCTGGTTTATGCTGTCCCTCTCCTCTGAGCGTAGGATCCACTCATCCAGCGCTCTACATTCACAGAATATATCTGAATGATATGACAGAAGCAGTAGCTAGGGCCTAGCTGTAGATGCCAATACTGCTGAATCGTGAAAGCACAAAATTCAAGGATAAAACTTATTTTGGGACCGGGTGGAAAGAGTCAAGCTACATTGAAAGCATCTGAGATGCAAATAAAGTTTTCAGTTGTTCTAAGATAGGCTAATCAGTAGCCCAAACAGGTAAATCCTTAGCCTAAAGAGTCATGTGTGGTATCAGACTGAGATGGTTGCATTGGAGCACAGTACAACTTTACTCCTATTTTATTTTAATAGTTTAAAAAAAAAAAAGACCTTGTGATGAAATGGCCTTCATAAATGTGCTTCTGTGAATAATCTACCACACAGTAAATAGGACACGATAATAAACCCTCCGAACCTGAGTTTCTAAACTGAGACTTGAACCTTAGAATCAATGGTTTGCAGAAGATTCACTCCAGCTATTCATTCTCCTTTGGTGTCTACAGCAGCCTGTGAACATCAAGCTGATGCAAAAGTGCTAAAATATTGCTCCTGAGAGATTCTTCTGATGGTATGACCAGCGATATCAGAAGAAGGATTTCTTTTCTTGACATATCCAGCCCTGTTCTGCAAATTGAGGTGGCGACAATACTGCTCAGAGGGTCATCCAGACCTTCTGTTTTCAGTGGATTCCTATCCATCTCCTTGGGCTAGCAACACCCTCTAATGCACCCCTCCAGTTTCTCTCCTCTCCTTCCCACAAAGACAAAAGGCAAAAGTCATCCGTCAAACACTGTGTGGGGCCAGAATCGAATGGAGCACAGATCTGAAAAGTGTTGAGCTCTGTTCTGAATCTGTTTTCAAGAAGTCTCTGTTGATAGCTGGTTGGTACAAGCCGGCTTATCCCTGCTACTGCCCGATCCCAAGGAGACCTCACTGAGAAGCCTTGGGGCTATGCTGAAAAACAGCTATATTTGTTTTCTTATTTATAAGAGGAGCAGCAATCTGCAGGGCAGAGGTGGCTTATTTTGATCTTAGCCAGCCTTAGTTTCACAAGGGGTTCTTCTCCCCGCTGAATTATGGGGGGGCCATTGGGAGCACCAGGAAGAGATGAGGGTCCTTCAAAAAAGGACTGAGTGCCCTACAAATACTAACATCTCTTGCAAGAAGGAATCTCTCTCTGTCTTTCAAGAGGTGGGTGAGTAAACGTAGGACTGAATGACCTGACTAACGAGCTGAATGCTGTGTTGCTGTATTAACCCACTGTGTACCAAAGTCCGCTCCCCAACATTGTGATCATTTTTGTCTTGGGCAGTGTTAATCATCCGCACCCGCCGTCTGGCCTCGGTGGTTGGCAGCATGGAAGCGAGGGATGCCGGTCTGAAAACTTATGCTGAACAGCAAAGGAGCAAGAAGAAGGCCTGTTCCTCACGCTGCTTTCTGAGGTAGGATGCACAACATCTTCTCTAAATGCTCCTGTGGAGCTGGAGTTGGGGAAAGAAGCACCTCTTGATTGCAATCGTTACAAAAATCTGACAACCATTAGGTAGCTGGTGTGTCTAGGTGGCTGCTCATCATGTTGACCCATAATGTTTTCCTGATCCATTTTGACCCATACACTTAGTTTCTTGTGCTCCCCTGGCCGTTTGGTTGTATCCACCTGTTCTCTCTTCCTTGACACTTCCATTTTAAGCTTTTTTGGCTTTAGGGATTGTCTTTTTGTTCCCTGCCTGTACAGGACCCTGGTTTAGGACTGGAGTTCCTATGCATGTTATTGTTCCAGTTAGAAAGGGGTGTCAAATCCCGTTCCTCTCTATTTATGAGCTCCCTTGAGTACAGAGGTATTTAAATCAGCAAGTGCTAGAATTTGCTTTCTGAAACTCAGCAGGAAAAGGGATCGGGAAATGCAAAGACTCACTTCTTTTTGGCTGCCATATACTTGACAGTAGATTTATTTCCAACATCATCGTCAAAATAAGAAAGCACTTGTTTCCTTTCTGCAAAACTGGGAATAACAATAAGAAAGAAGGACCGTGCGGATGTCATTGCCCCATCTGGGCCAGTTATATTCTCAATGTTTCATCTTTTTCTTCTCATACCTACCCCATGCTAGCATCTGTTTCTTACATCTCATGCTTTGATCCGTGCAGGGGAGGTAGTAAATTGACCCTGGGATGCTTCTTGAAACAAAATCTCACTGCTGCAACAATTCCACCACCTCATTTCCCCAAGCAGCTCCTTCTCAGAAAGTCACCTTCCAGGGTAGATGTCATTTTGCTTCTTTCAGACAGAGGTATGGGTTTACAAATTCCTTTCTCCTTGCAGAAATATCATTTTGCAATGTTTTCACTTAAAAATAAAGTCAGGTTCTCATGCAGATCTCCTTGGAGGAACAAAGAACTGAAAGGAAAGAGGATGGTGAATATTTATAAAGACCTTTCCTTCCAGGTTCACCTGCCATTTGGCTTAAATAGATATTACAGATTAAGAAAGCAAGTTGGAAGCGGCAGTTAAAAATGTTCTTGTGCGCTAGTCCTTGCAGGTTTTTATGATGTCATAATTGTCCTAGAGATTTGACTGTCTAGAGAGTCCCACAGGGGGGCAAGAAGATCTGCATAGTAGACCTGAAACACCAGACAAAAATCATTGGTAAAGACTGGCTTCTGCTTCAGGCAAAAAGAAGGCTGTAAACCCAATATCCCACACTTTATAGCCATCATAAACACCCTCTAGTTCTCTAGCATTTATTGCATTTGCCCCTTCAGTTAGCAGAAACACAGCAGCAGCCTATTGTCTGCAGGCACCGGTATCTGTTTCATCATCACCTCATTGTCCCTCGGAGTTTTTGCATAAAGAATTGCAAAGTACACCCCCTTGATAGACTCCCTGCAATATTCACAGTCACATCTGTCTGCAGCTATCTTGTATTGACGGCCTCTGTTGTTTTAAGGAGAGTCACGCTTTGAGCATAGTTATCATGTCTTTAATAAGAGCTCTGATTTCTCCACCCTGAAGTCTGAAACGTAAGTGTTGCTGTCCCATCTCACTGCATCCATGCCTCTGGCTGGTGGTTGGCTTTGCTCTTTACAGGTTACAAACGCAGAGAAATATTTGATTTCTACAGAAACATGTCGGGGCAGCCAGAGCAGGTGGAAATAGCCACATATAGGTAGAAAGGGACTATTTTCAAGACAGAAAGGGTATTTAGATGCTGTTCTCCCATGACTGTCAAATGTGTTGAACACCTAACTCCACTTTGGGACTGAAATTTCCCCACCCTCATTTGAAGTAAGAGCTTGGATAGTTATTTCCTCTTGGGGGTGGGGATAAAATTTAATAAAGAATATCTTTTTCCATTAAGAATAGAGTTGAGCAGCATCTACACTGCACAAGGCTTGGGTGAGCAGCATTTTTTGTGCTTGAGTTATTTAACTTGATCACCAAAGTGCTTCAGTCTGTGGCTGGGGTTTGTAATCTTTGGAGGGAAGAGTTGACTTCAGTTATTAATGCGGAGTGTCGTTTTCTGGATGTTTGTTCCCCCTCCGCCCTGCTCTTCACCCCAATTTCCTATGCAAAAGAACAAAATGTTACAACCCCCACTTTTGAAATACTCAACAGAAAAGAAGAGATTCAGGGAAGAGAAGCCGTGTCCCATGAAAGAGGTGTGGTACAGTTTGAAGACGCACTTCACCCAAGCTGTCTCGGCCAGGTGAGGAGATTTGGCTAGGAATTCATGTCGTTTCATGTTGCACCTTTCTGCTTCCCATGCTCCATCGCACAAACCAAGCAGTGGCAGGAGAGAGCATGAGAGCCTGAATTGATGTGGTCAAAGAAGACCACGTTTCATCTTGAGATTGGGGGTTTTTTTCTGCATCTAGCCTCATCCCCACCTGCTTTGGGTCAATGAATGAGGCAGGGAGCTGAGATGAGCTCAGCACAAGTCTTCCTCGCTAGAATCCAGGCCGCATCCAGGTGCTTTTTAATGAATTTCTCCTGAAGCTGTCACTGTTCTTCCAAACTCCTGTGGCAATAGATGAGCTGTAAAGCAGCAGGTGTAGACACACAGGGAGCTGTAATTGCAGGGGTGCATATAGGTGGTAAAGTGGATAAGGGGCTGCTGTCCAGTGGACTGAAACAGCAGTGAGTTTAGCAGCTCACTGGGATCAGCCGTGGTTAGGGCTTCATTGTGAATCTGAATAGAAATGCTTCTAGGAAGCTTCCTGGTGATGGCAGCAAAGAGGCCAGTATGGAGGATCTGGATAACTTGCTAATAAAGGAGCTTAAAAAAAACCCAATCTTAATTCTGGATTTTCACCACTTGCAAGAGCCAGAGGTAGCTCTCAAGGTGAGCAAGTTAAAACCCAACAAAGGAAACAGTCCCTTATCAATTCAGGGCTCAGTTTTGGAGCTTGCTGATCTAACTGGGTTGTTTTTGCCGAGCTTAGAAGGACAAGATGTTCTTTTTATTCATTGCTCCAACCCAGAGGATCCTTGCCTTGGCTTTCTCCATAGCCGGGAACTTCTCCTGGGCTGCCAGGGGGTGGAGGATCTTTATCCTTATCAAACAAAGTATTTTCTTCTGACTAGTTCAGCCTCCTTCAATCTGGGTGCGTCGACATGTGACGCTACATTGCTGTAGTGACGCTCTACAGCGCCTACACGTGTCCAGCACCTACTTCACTATAGTGGTGCGCTCCCCCATTATAGCACACCGCTACGGCGAAGTAGCTGCTAAAAATAACCATGTGCCCATGCGTACAGTGCAGTGTGGGCAGTTACTGCACCAAAAGGAAGTACTAAAACATGGCGCAGTAACCATGTCACTGTAGGGCAACGTGTAGATGCACCCCCTGTGACCTAACTTTGTCATCAGTAAATTATGATGCCAACCATCCCCTATGCCAGCCAAATTCCTCCTTGGCTTCTGAAACTGGAAGGTTGTGATTATATTAGCAGAAACCATGTTCTTAACGGTCATCAGGACCACATGCCTTTGAAGCCAAATGAATCTGCCCGGCTTATTTCCTTCCTTTGTGTGAAGCGAAGACACGTGTGCAACTCCAGAATCACTGTCCTCATGTGATTACCCAATCGAGAACACCCCAGACTTATTTTGTTACTGCCTCATCGTCTCGATTAATGAGGTTTGCTCTTTTGCACATCCCTTGTCTTGCTCCATTAAAATTAGACACATCAGTCCAGCTGAACCAGACAGCAGAGGTGGCACAAGGATGAAGGAAAAAGTTTATTCGTTTTTTTCCAAAAGTGGGGGAAAAAACACTCTTGTACATATTGTTAATGAAAAGTGTTCACTGAGTTTCTATAGTTTTTATCCTAAACAGAACCATGCCATTAATCTGTCCCCTTCCCCAACCCCAGTCCCCCAAACTGAACGACAGATCTAGGCTGTATAAGGTAAAAGCAGGCAGTGGTAATATTTCTCCTGGGTTGGGTTAGTGTTGGTTAGCGTGGAGACATGCTATTTTTAGGGATGAGAAGGCCATAAGGTATCATTACGATCGTCTAGTCTGACCTCATCTATTATGCAGACCAAAGAACATCAGCCTCTACCCTCACCGTCAAGCCTATAATGCTATATTGCCATCAAGATGTATACATCAATACCTTCTACAGCGTGAGACAAGCACTGCACAAGTGTATGTCCACTACCCTATACTGTAGTTCCTGGAGAGTCTCCTTCAGCACAGCCAGCAGGGGACTATGCTTCCTAAGGACATTGATCCAGGTTCTCCCCCTAATACCACCCATATAGGCTGCAGGATGGGGACTGCAGACTTATTGCAATATTGTAAGAGCTTCTCTGTCTCCTTGGAAGTGCTGGTGTCTCCTATTATGACGGCTGTCAGCATGAGGGGAGCCCAAGTGATGTTTTATTCAGCAGCGAAGGCTCAGACAGACAGGTCATTTCAAAGTAACGAGGTTTTAAGTTCAGTGTTTGAGGAGCGGCCCTAATTTACACGTTAAGATTCACTGGCAGCCACGCTGGGAATGTCGGCGCGTCCTTTGGCATGATAAGTGATCTGTGTTCAGTGAGCCGACGAGGCAGCAATTTTAGCTGTGGCCTAGAGTAAATTAAAATGGCTTGGTTACCTTGAAAATGGGTTCATAACGGAAATAGTGGCTCAGGCTTAACTTGGTTTTCGGGAACAAGATGCTCAAGACAGGTTGAAAAATAGCTCTCTCTAGTGGACACGTCTATTTACATTTTGGCTGAATGCTAAGCCAGGTGGTTACAGGGGTGTAGGTTGTCCCGAATGCAAAGCCAGGCCCTTGACTTTCAGTGCAGGAGCTCTGCACACACCGAGCCCAGGCATTTAATTCGCAAGCATTCGGCATAGCTAGAAGTAACCAGAGCGCATGGGGGAAGTTAGAGGGAGTGAGTTCAAGTCTGGTAGACCACTGGGTCCCTTCTCAGGGCTTCTTGCCCTTCATTGCCATGGCTTCTGCATGCAGCACAGAGCCCTGAGTATGAGATACATGCATGAGGAGAGGCTAGAAGAGGGGCAGCCACGCCGCCACAGGTTTCCCTTTCAAATCCTGGGAGGAATTGATACAAAAAGCACATTGCATTGTCTCTTGTCCAAAGCCTCCCTCAGCCCATTCCTCTTGTGGGAGGGGGTTATGGAGCTGGATATTGGCTTGGAAGTTCAGACAACATGGTTTTTCAACGAGTCGACACTGATGGTGACCAGGGAGGGCTCCCCGTGGAGCTGAGGATGTAACACCTACACGAGCCTAAGGACCTTGATCCAGGTTCTCACCCTAATACCACCCCTTTGGGCTGCAGGATGGCGACTGTGGACTTGTTGCAATATTGTAAGAGCTTCTCTGTCTCCTTGGAAGTGCTGGTGTCTCCTTTTATGATGGCTGTCAGCATGAGAGGAGCCCAAGAGATGTTTTATTCAGCAGTGAAGGCTCAGGCAGACAGGTCTGAGGATGTAGCACGTACATGAGCCATGGCTGGGGGATGCTCTAGGTGAGTGCCTGTCCCCTGGAAGCACCCCAGTCATGGCGATGCAGGGAAGGTGCCTTCCAGATGCAACATCTGTGGCAATTGCCTTCCCCAATAATTGAGCAGGGGGTGGTGATCCAGACCTATCTCACTCAGGGAAATAGTTAGTACCGGAGTAAAAAGATGCCTGAATCCTCACCTGCAACCTCCCCTTCTCCCTTTTAGGAACAAGCCGGTATTTCTTTGCCCATACACTTGGAAGTGCACCAACCCATTTATCTCCAGGTTTCTGCTGGAGAAGCTGGATGCACTTATAGAGGCTGTCACAACATTCATAAAGGTGCAAGACAGCAGTGCCTCTCTCACTTGCTCCCTGTCGGATCCAACCGCCCTGAATTCCCTGAGGCTCCTTTGGCTTTATGCTGGAGCTTTTGCATTCAGCATAAAAAATCATTAATAAAATATCAAAGAGATCCCACGATGGGCTTGCTTCATGCAAAACCAGCTGGGATTTTGTTTTGTGGGTGGCTGTGGGAGGCGGTTTTGAGTTTCTGGTCCACTGTGGATTCCACGGCTAGTTCAGCAACGGCGGGATTACAGCAAACGTGGGGCTTGCTAATGGCTGATTATATGTTCATTAGACCACAGTTTTTCATCGAAGGAGGGGTGGTTAGACTGTTCCTGTGCTTTGTCCCTGGTGGGTTTTCTGTGCATGCCAGAATTGTTTTGAAGTACTATTCCATTTTGTAGGATCAGAGGCAACAACCACTGGAGTCCAGCAATGGGAAACCATCAAAGGAAGAACAATCTAAGTAAGTTATTACAATCAAGTTATTAGCTTGCTTTGAGAATTAGAGTAAATATTTACAAAGAAAGAGAACTGATGCTACAATTTGCAGGGGGCATTGACCAGCTGAACTGTTAGGATTAGTGGCGATAGATGGCATTTTCTTCAGCAGATAGACTTTTTGCGTGCCTGCTCCTGGGGATGGTTGGGGTGGGCGAAAGCTGTAGGCATTGTCACTAAGGCAGTGGACTGGGAAATTCTGTTTCTGCCCCTGCAAGCAGCCGAGTGAGTGACCTTGGGCCTATGATGTCCCTCAGTTCCTGAGTTTCCCCGTTGATATAGAAGTTTTTATCCCCATTTTACAAAGTGCTTGGGGCAGTACAGATGAAAAAAGTGTTACCAGGAATTAGATATTCTTATTGTTCCATTTTTCCTTTTCCATACCCCTTCCTGATGCCAGAGAGTACATTTTAGACTGAAGTGGTACTCCTATAATGTAGAATTACCCACTAAGGTTTCAGAAGGATGGTGCTGAGAGAGACTGCGACTGGCCAGTCCCACCATGAATTGCATTTACACTGCAGCCTTGATTTGCAGAGGCCAGGAGCAGTTTTGTTTCTTCTTAGGATGAGGGCATAGCCATAATGTCGACAGCGCTGTGCAGCCCCCAGGACAGCGCATCACTTGTGTCAAGGGCTCAACTCTGATTCAGCTGAAATAATGTCTGGCGGCTATTTTGTGGCTTTGGTGGGAGACGAGTCTGTTGGGTCTTAGTGGGCAAGGTACCATTTCACAAAGGTCCTTAAAACTCCTTGGAACAATTGCTTCTTGTTGGCAAGTTTGAGCAGAGAGGATCAAGACCAAGGACATGGAGACCAAACAGGGTCAGGAAAGAGGGTCACTGGGGTCATACGAGTAAATGGCAGAGCCAGGAGCAAAAACCAAGAGCCATAGCTTCCTGACCTTGTCTTCAGCATTAAACACTGCAGTTTAATCATCTTGTTTGAATTAGCAAACAAGCACCTTTGAACAGCAACCATTCAATCCAGCCGGTACGGAAAGACAAACCTTTTGCTTTTCACTTTTCTCCCAGGGCTCACTTCAGAGAATCCAGCTCAGCCACAAGCTATCTTCCCAACGTGTTACTGGATGAGTTGTTGATGGAGGTTCTCCGAGATTTGTCCTCTGATGTCTTCAGAAGTGCCGTGAAGGATTTCGTTGATGACTATTTAGGAAGGGCTGCCATTTTTGACAGCATGGATGACATCGTGACAGAGGTGGTTCAGACGATCTTGTCACCATTAGTGAGTAAAAGGATGTCTCTCATACACACCCACGTGTATATTTATATGTATGCGCCAGGATGTGTTGATGTGCATGTATCATGGTGTGTAGATACAGATCATGGGGCATGCATTAATGAGTAAAATGCACACACACACCTCTCTCTCTCATATACACACACAACAAGATGTGTGTGTGTGTGTGTGTGTGTTATTTTTTGTACTTGAGTTATTTAACTCAATCACCGCAGTGCTTCAGTGTGTGGCTGGGGTAATATATATTACACACACACACACACACACACATACATACGTGCATACATATGTTTGTGTGTGTGAGTGTGTACAAATTATGGGATCCTGAATTTGGAGCTGGTATCAGTTCTGCTTCTTCCAGCCCTGGAGAGTGAAGTTCATCTTGAGCATCCGCAGAACTGTGAATGAAAATGCAGCAGTGACAGAGGAGAATCCCTTACCAGTGTGCCTCAGGTCTGGAAAAGGGCCAATGTGGTCCCCATTTTCAAAAAAAGGGAGGAAAGAGGACCCAGGAAACTATAAGCCTGTTAGTCTAACTTCGGTCCTGGGGAAGCTCTTGGAGAAAATTTTCCAGGAGCACATCTACGAGGGGTGAGCAGGGGAGGTTATGCTTAGGGGCAACCAACACGGGTTTATTAGGGGCAGGGCCTGTCAGACCCACCTCGTGGCCTTCTACGACCAGGTCACAAAATCCTTAGACGCAGGTGTCGCGGTGGACATAGCCTTTCTGGACTTTAGGAAGACCTTCCACACTGTCTCTCACCTTATTCTCATAAAAAATTAGGCGACTGTGGTGTAGATGCCTACACAGTCAAATGGGTTGCAAATTGGCTGGAGGGCTGCACCCAAAGAGTGGTGGTGGACAGGGCATTTTTGACCTGGAGGGACGTGGGCAGTGGGGTCCCCCAGGGCTCAGTCCTCGGGCCCGCACTGTTCAACATCTTCATCAGCAACTTGGACATGGGGGTGAAAAGCACCTTGTTCAAATTCACGGATGACACTAAGATGTGGGGAGAAGTGGGCACACTGGAAGAGAGGGACAGGCTGCAACTAGATCTAGACAGGTTACAGGGGTGGGCGGATGAGAACGGGATGGGGTTCAACACTGACAAGTGCAAGGTGCTGCACCTGGGGGGAAGAACCAGCAGCACACCTACAGGGTGGGGAACTCCCTTGTCAGAGCAGAGGCAGAAAAGGATCTTGGAGTCATTATTGATGCCAAAATGAACATGGGCCGACAGTGTGGGGACACGGTCAGGAAGGCCAACCGCACCTTGTCATGCGTCCACAGATGCATCTCGAGCAGGTCCAGGGAGGTGATCCTCCCCCTCTATGCGGCACTGGTCAGGCCGCAGTTGGAGTACTGCATCCAGTTCTGCGCGCCGCGCTTCAGGTGGGATGTGGACAGCGTGGAGAGGGTCCAGAGGAGGCCACCTGCGTGATCCGGGGACAGCAGGGCAGGCCCTACGAGGAGAGGCTACGGGACCTGAACCTGTTCAGCCTTCACAAGAGAAGGCTGAGGGGGGGTCTGGTGGCCAGCTCCAAACTGGCCAAGGGGGACCAGCAGGCAATGGGAGAGTCCCTGTTCCCCCGAGCACTACCAGGGGTAACAAGGAACAACAGCCATAATTTGACCAAGGGTAGATTCAGACTAGACATCAGGAGGCGCTACTTCACAGTCAGGGTGGCCAGGATCTGGACCCAGCTTCCAAGGGAAGTGGTGCTTGCCCCTACCCTGGGGGTCTTCAGAAGGAGGCTAGATAATCACCTAGCCAGGGGTCGTTTGACCCCAGCATCCTTTCCTGCCACGGCAGGGGGTCGGACTTGATGATCTGCTCAGGTCCCTTCCAACCCTACCAACTATGAAACTATATAGAGACTGCCTCTCAAGCTGCAATGGGGTCCATTCAGACCTTCACCTCTTTTGCCAGGTCTGCCAATGAGTGCTGTTTGTGATGGTGTCTTTTGTCATGCAGACATCAGGACATTCATAATTGGACTTAGACCCAATAACTCACGTCACTAAGGCTGTCAGATAGCCATTTGGATGATAATGGATTTCAGTTACTGTCAATCTGGGCTAAGGTTTGTTTTTGTCCGATAGCTGCAATAACTTAGACAGCCCTTTTTCTTACTAAGGTAAAGCTGATGTTTCCTTCTGTGTTGGCTCAGCCTCGAGAGACTGTGCAAGAGATGGACTGTGAGGATATTCTCGAAGGGATCATTTCACATGTCATTGTGGAGGACGCCACAGCTTTAGCTCACTCAGTCCTTGGTGAATATGATGCCAAGCTGATTAAACTGCAGCAACACCAGGTACTCTCAAAGTATGTGTGGCAGCATGGGTTATTAATTTCACGTAAGAAATTAATTCCAATAGCCTGGTGAGAAACCCACCTGGTCCATCAGTCATAACAGTTAGTCACCACCTGATTCCAGTGTCCTGGTGGAAAAATCCCCACGGGTCATCAGTCTTGACAATCACCACCTGAGTCAATTGAAAAGCCAAGGCCAAGCTTGATGTCTTAAACACATAAGAGCCTAGTCAGATGGCAGAGGGCGGGGGTAAGAGGGTGGGGAGGAGGAGGGTACACTTTTAGCTGGGCAGCCAGACAGAAAAAAAGAGGTTGCTATCAAGACTATATGTAGATCTGAAATTAAAAGTACAGTGGCTTGATCACTAAGACGTATCGGCTTAACCTGGCTTGAAAACTCTCCCTTAAGGCAGCTGGAGTCACCCTAATTATTGTACTGTTTCTTTGGCTGTAGTATTTATCTATAAATATTCCTGCCCCAGCAGTTTCACGTGCGAGTGCCTGAAGCTAAGGTATGATTTTCAAGGGTGCCTGGCAACTTCAGCTCCCATGTAATTCAGCTATGCATCCAAGTGACATCGGGACAGGCAGGGAGTGGGAGAGCGCCTTGGGGAGCGCACACTCTCCGTTAGATAAGAGGCACAGCTTGGGATATGGTGGCACAGCTTGGGAATCGCCCTAGGTCACGCAGCGAAGCAGCGGCAGAGCCAAGAATAGACCCGAGATCTCCTAGCCCTGTTCCCTTCTGCTCTTTTATTTTTCAAGTCCTGGGATGGAGTTTGTCACATCAGCCATGGTCAGGGTCTGCCCGTGGAAACCGCATTTGAGGCAGAGCGTTTCAGCCTCACTGTGCTTGTTTCATGGCTAGCTAAACACGGGTTCTCAGTGTGGAAGAAGATGTTAGCAAGTTGACATTCAAAGCGTTTTCTCCCAGTTTTACATCAGTCTGATTCATTTTCTATTGGCCTGGCCGGGTGCTGGAAAGGTTTCCTCCTTTTCTGAATCGGTGGGGACTCTGGACACCAACTAACTGGGAAGGGCACTGACTCAAACCCACTTTGGATGCAACTCCCCTATCACAAGGGTGGAGGTGGCCCAGTCTGCACAGATCTGTAATGGCCAAGTTGTGGCCTATTAGCAACTAAAATGACTTAAGGCTATCAAGATGTCAGATTATGCTCCTACCCTTTTTCTCCCTCTCAGACTCTTCACTTCACCTCACTTCACCCTTCTTTCATCCCTTTTCCTTGCCATTAATGTCCCCTCTGCTCCCATGGTTTTTTTTCTTCCTCCTCCAGCTAATCCTCCTGGCCCACCAAAACACAGCTTTTGCCACCAGCACATTGCTCACTGCTTGTGCTCTTCCCCCCTGTGTCTATTTAGATGTGCAAGTTGTGGGGAGCTAAGTCTGTGTGTGTGCAGCACCATGCACAATGCTGACAGATTCCCAGCTGATCCTGAGTTTCTGCTGCCTGAACCTAACCTAACACACACATGCTTCCCTTGCCAAACAAGTGAGTTTTTTACTGGTACCTCATCGCTTTCCTGATGGGGCCTCAGGTAGAGACAGAATTTGATCTTCCTTGCAGTGATTTAAAATCCACATTAGAAACAGAAGTAACTTGGAGGAGGTGGAAAGGCATTTTGGCCGGATGCAAAATGCAGGAATTAGGGCCCAACGTGCAGAATCAGTAGAAGTCGCAAGCAATGGAGAGATTACATCCTGTCATACAACATGCATCTCGGCGTGTATTGTAATGGATTAGATTTATAAGAATAAAAACCCACACTCTGCTTTCATGTAGCTCTTGCTGACACACACACAGGATGCTTGTTTGCGGAGATTACACCGTCAGAGAAAGGAGGTTCATGCATCCCCGTCTGATATGCAAATGCACGTAGATAGGTGCCTGCATTGTACTCGGCAATAATAGGAATCGCTCTTTCCAGGTAATTAGAACTTGAAGGACGAGGTCTGGGAGGAATGATGTGCCTCGGGAGTGAGGCGAATTTCAAAGAGCTTCGAACAAACTGCAGTGGCAGCGCGATGGGGCTTGCTCCGTGCAGCAAGTAGAGTGGAACAAACACCCCCTTATTGCATGCAGGGAGATTAAAGGCAGCTGTATTAGATTTATTAATGACAATTAATATTAATTTGAATGGCAGCTTCTACAGAAAGGGCTCAGCACAGGGGGGAGGAGAGGCTTTTTCTGGAAAGAGGCAAAAAAAATCCTTTTCTGAATTAGCCCAGTGAACAGTAAGAACAGGCCTCCTTGTGCTTAGCCCAGCAGGACCCAGGAGTCCTCCCAGTGATCTGCCTTTCAGTGCACTGGCCCTCCTGTTGCTCCTACCTTTCCTCTCCTCTCCTCTGAAGCAGTTGGAGACATTCGTTGCATGCTCACAGGCCCCCAAATGAGATGACAAGCCTATTGTGCTAGCAGCTGTACAAGCCCTGATGGTCTTAGAGATTTAGTAGGCAGGACACACAGCATGTGGGGAAGGAAAGGCTTGCTAACCCCATTTCACAGATGAGGAACTGAGGCTTGGGGGCTATAAGAGACTTGGCTTTGGCATCACAGCGGGTCTGTGACAGCATCGAGAACTAAGGCTGCATTTCCTGAATCCCACTTCAGTCCTTTCATCCCAACATGTTGCTCTCTTTCTTCAGCCTCCCGTGGATCCTGGTCTGCCTGCCCCAGAGCTAGCAGCTGAGAGCAGGCTGTGTGTGAGGCACAAGGGCAGGAGGGTTTGCCGCTGCAGGGAAGGATAGACAGGACAGGATTTCTGCCAGCCAAATTTTCTACACTGCCCCGTCTCCTAGAGGCCAAAATCTCAGTGCTCAGACTGGCTTCCTATATGCGGCACAGCTTTTACACCTGAAGATAAACCAAAGCCTTTACCACCTGGAAGGGGCTCTAGCTTGTGAGCTAAACGGTTGATGCTAGTGAAATATTACCATCCCTCCTGTCTTTGATGAGTATAACCAGTGTGTTTTTTTGGCTAGTAAAGTGCACTCAGCTCAGGCTGCCTCTTGGGAGAGTGGAAGGAGGTTTTTGGTGAGCAAAGCTCTGGTTCCCTTTAGCAAATGTCATCAGATAGAACTGGAGCTGCACAGGGCACAGCGGGTTCACATCGGGGGCTCGTCCAAGCACCATCCCTTCAGCATCCATCAATTCACAGAGATTGTTTTCTTCAGCTACAAAAGTGCCTGATCCCCCTCTGCATTACACAGGCCAGCGTCCCAGCTTCTCTTCCCTCAGGGACCTCTGCATGAAGCCTCTAATTCCAGTCTGCACTCCCTGCTGCCCCACATATATGCTCGAGATCCAAAGGATCAGTAAGCAGAATGACTTGGGGCCATTGCCATCCAAGTGGTGTCCAACTTGTCTTTAAAGGGGTTGCTTTAGCTCTGGTTGCAGCAACCTCTGTCTTATCTTTGCATTTCAGGTCTCCAAGGTAGGGATGCAAAGTTCTGCTGCAGCCTCTAACAAGCCGGAGAACACACGACGGAGCCCAGCATTTGACTGCGGTATCTTTTAACATGCCTCTGGAAATGTCCTCCTCTCTGGGGCAACCGCCAGGTGGCACATGACAGGGATAGCAATCCCATTGTCAAGCAATCCCCCTACCAGCGTGGTAGCTACCAGCTGATAGCTACTACCAGCAATCCCCCTACCAGCATATAACTTAGTATCTCTTTGATATCCATAAGGAAAATGGGTCTCAAAGTGGGATTACTCCATTGCTAGCATTTGAAACGTTGCACTACTACATGTGTGCATGTGAGAAAGGGAGTGCGAGAGAGGATGAGAGAAAAACCCAGCCAGCCTAACACTTTTGCAAGCTCTTGGAAGCCGTTTTGGACCAAGGCAACACTGTATGACCTGTTTTTTGTTGACTAGCAAGGGAGCTCAACAGGAAGAAGGGGCAGATTTCTCTGTTTGAGCAGCACAAAAAGTTACAAGCAGCCGCCAGAGAAGAATTTCTGTTCCTTCTGAAATGTAATTAGAGCGTCTCTTCTTTCTTGCACAGGTTACAGCATTTGCGAGTAAACAGCTTATTGACATATTTCTTCTGGAGCACTTGATAGGAACGATTAGTATGCAGGACCCAGGGTTTTCGGGGAAGGAGCACTCAAGCGTGGTTTTGGCAAGTGAGTACTGAACCGCAGCGGGGATGGAAAAAAATCCCCCAACCTTGCTGCAACTAACTCCTGAACAAACCCTGCAAGTCCTGAACAAACCCCCTGCTCCGTGCTTGCTTAATGCTTTCCATCCACGGGACATTTTGCAAATGCTCGAGGGCCTGGGGTTAGTGTTCGCCAGTGAGAGTGTGCACACACACAAGCATTCAACAGTAGCCATTGCACTTGTGTAGTTTCCAAATATAGACCGTCCTCCTCAACCCCCCGGCAATGGACCTGGGAATAGGCAAGAACTGTCTGCCTCAAAAGGGAAGCAACATACCCTTGTGGGCAGTTCCCTGCCCCAGCCATAAGATCTGAGCTCTGCTGCCAGGCCATGGGCAAAGCACTGCGCCTCAGTTTCCTCAAGCATAAATAATGAAATAATGACACTGGACTTCTTCTTTAAAGCACTCTGAGATGAAAAGCTTATAGTAGTATCAGCAATCTTAGGAAACAGAGCTGGACCGGTGCCTTTTCTGCTTCTTTAAATATGCTTTAATGGAGGAAGAGGTCAGTGAGTAGATTATTTATAGCAGTGACTTGCCCACAGCCACCCAGCAGGGCATGCGGAGAGCAAGGAACAGGATGTAAAACCCTCAGTTCTGGCCACTGGAGATGATGCCTCCTCATACTTCAGCTGTTGTACTATACCAGGGGGAATCTGCAATCTTTGTTAAGGCTGACACTCTTGGTTTTTGCTTGTGTTTAGTCCATGTGACTATACTTCCCATAGAGCCATTGGGGAGAAAGAGGCTGTATGTGGAAGATCACTACAATGCAAATCGGAGTGCAGAGGACGCATATGGGAGCCATGCCTTTTGCGATCTTGTCCCCATGCTGATGACTAAGGCAAAACACAAGCATCATATACTTTGTAATATGCCTCCAGTTTCCCCTCTGTGTAACATCATTTTGCATTACCCCTGTAGCAGCACAGTGCAGTACATAAAACATGTGCTGGCGAGGTCCCAGTTGAAGGGCTCAGTCTAGCTGCTGGATTAGAGTCACCGGGGTTTCAGGGGAAACCTAACAGACCCTAAAGACCCAAATGGAGACATACAAGTGCAATGCAGCATAAGGCAGGACAGCTTTTTCAGAAGCTGAAGCAGCCTCTGTTGACTGTGGTTCTTCTCATCATGGGCATGCTCACAACCAAACTGTGTGCAGAGGTCTTGAGAAACTTAAGTGGGAAGACACGCTGTGCCCTACAGCAGGGGAGCCATAAACTTTGGTTGTATGCTATGCTGCATTTACTCTCACATCTCATCCACCTGAACCAATCCTTGCCCCCAGCAGGGCTGTTCTGTGCCAGGCTCGCTGCCATCCCTCGTGCCAGGTGCTGCCCCTACACAGTTAAGTGTATACCAAACTAAAAATAACACCGCTGCCAATTTTCCAGGGGGGAAGAGAAAGGGGTGGGTTGGCGGGGTGGAGGAGGGATTTCTCTGCCTGGCTTCTCAAACATCTTACCTGACTTCTTTTTCCCTCCAAGGCTGGATGTTTGATATTCTCATCAGGCAGTTTTTAAGCATTCAGGAGGTGCAGCAAACTACCTTGGAAAACGTTCCCCTGGGAGATTTCCATCGGAAAGCTTTTACAGAGGTGGTAAGTAGGCTCGTATTTTTAGCCGTTGATAATTTTTGCTCTCTTGTCCCTGTACAGCAGGGAGAGGAATCCAAGAAAAGAAAAAAAAAATCCCCCCACGTGCTCTGGCAGAAGCAGGGTAGCTGCATGGCTAATTAAGGCAGAAGGGTCGGATGTAACAGCAAGGGATTATTTAGAGCGGCACTTGTGATGATTACATGTTTTCTGCTAATCATGGCCCGCACTCCCTTCCATATTAAAATAGGTCAGTATTAAATACTCCAAGTTCTTTTTAACCCTTCAGATGCTAGGGGCATGGCTGGGGGCATCTCTTTCCCACCTTTGGGCCACCGCTGCCAGCACCTGCGGGGAGGCCTGTAGATCAGATGGTATTTTACGGCCGAGGGGCCACGTGTAATTTAAGTCCCTTCAGGATGAAAGGCATGAGCCTGGAAAAACCAAAAAAACCAACAAAAAAAAAGACAAATGGTTATATTGGAAAGCAACCACTAGATGGCAATAGATTAGCAATTTTTCATTCAACGGCTCCAGCGCAAAAATCCTAACAATTGGCAGATTTTCTGTGCCCAAAGGTTTCAGCTTCGCTAGACTGTCGCTGTCTCTAATCTGAGGGGATATTGCTTTGTCTTAAATTACTTAAGAGGTAAAGGCTGCTTCTGGTAATATCTGGAATTACACCTATAGTTTGTCTCTTATCTCTGATCATTACAGACCTTCTCTGTACAGCACATCCGATCTCCTTTGTTTAGCATTGCTTGATAAAATGTATTACTTAACCCCCCCCATAAAGTCCCTTCCTTCTTCCAAATCAGCTTTGTGCCAGTATTTCTTTCATAGGACACCTGGGATTCCCTCTGTGTGTTTCAGGCTTTAGATGTTATCTTGACCGAACTGAACAAACTGGCGGAGGAAGACATGGAAGATCTACGCCGCTATGAAAGAGGAGTCAAGGCCGAGGTTTGAATTTCTTTCAGGCGCTTCCTATCAATGCTAAAAAGCTAATGCGTCTGCGTGCGTTGCACCAAGACTGTAAACAGGTTGTGAGCTATTTGCGATCAAGATGCATTAGCAGAGTATGTGCGTGACTGGGCTGGGTCCTGCTTTAATAATTGCTAAGTATTAGTATAGACCAGGAGTCTCAGCCAGCAAGATCCTTTTAGGGGTGCTGCTCCTTGTTAGCACGGTTAGGTGAGCGGGCATGTAGACAATTCCCAGATAAACCCAGATATTTCAAATAGGAGCCTGTAGTATCAAAAACATTGTGACCTGCTGCGGGCTTTCCGAGTTCTTTGCACCGGACGGATTTCTCCTTTATGTTTCCAGTCAAAAAATGAGTGAAAACTAAGAGCTGGCGTCTTTTTGGAGAGGTGAGAGGAGGGCCTTGAGTCTAACGAGGGAGTGCCTTAAATCGGAAATAAATGAGAAGTTAACCAGCAGTGTAGACATACTGCCCATTACACGGTAACATCTGGAGTGAGACCCTTCAGATCTCTTTGTGCCCAGGAGAGACTCCCTGAGCCCTTCGGCGGTTCTCGTCTGGGCTTCTGCCCTTCCTTGAGACACCCTCTGCTGTGTTACCTATAAATCCCTTTTTTGATTGCTGTTTTCCTCACCTTCTTCTCAGGCATCCTTTCCAATACATCCACATCCCCACCTCATCTGATTCCAGATCCAAGAATCTCATCGTGTTTGCGGCAACGGTAGGGCAGGTCCAGGTACACCACCATCACCCTCCCTTTCCAGAGCCCTCCGCTAAGTCTTTTCCAGCACCCTTTGCTTCCAGCTTTAAAATAAGCCTGGTATGGTCTTTCCTGCAAGAGTAGAAGGCTGCACTTCACTTAGGCTGCTTTGTTACATCTCATGGCATCTCTCTAGTGAAAAATATCGTCAAAGCGGGATGTCTCGTTGGCATTTTGTGCGCTATCACAGACTTCGTGCCACAGCTGCTGTCACAAGTGACCCCCGCCCCTGGTCTTTGAGCGAGAGAGCGGTCTCCAGCACCAGGCTAAGTGTAGCGTGCCAGTTGCTGTCCAGCTACATTGTCCAGAGCTCCCATCTCCCTGCTCGCCAATGGAGAAATGTATTCACCTTGCCACTGGGCCCAGGTGACAGGGTTTTAATGACCAAAATTAGTATTACATTTTTCATTTACTCACCACTGAGGGTAGCCCTGCTGCTTGCCATGAATTAAGTATAGCAATTGCACACCACACTCACAGTAGAGCCAGCCAGAAGGGATTTGAACACCAGCAGTCCGATTTATTCGGTCCCTACCCCCAGATGACAGTGCCTCCTTCCAGGGGGGCTGCGGGGCAGGGCAGTCTGGTGCTGCCACTGCTGAGGCCTTTTCTGCATTGCTTCATCCCTCTCCAAGTGCCACTTTCTGGCTAGAAAACTAGACCCAGTTCAGATTCCCCACTCCATTTCTCTATGCCTGAATAATCCCCTGCTCCGTTTTACCTGATCATTCCCACCTTGGCTTCTCTTAGGACCTGGACCCTCAACCCTCCTTTGGCATATCCTATCCTGAGCCATGTGTTGGGCTTCCTTCAGTGGGCCATTGGCTCCACCTTGTTCCCTGGTTTCCAGTCTTTGAGCATCTCTCTTCGGTGCTTTCAGCGTCCTTTAGCCTTCCTGCACCCTTTTCTTACGGCCTACTCTGTCCTTTCAGGCCATAGTCCCATTGGCTTCTTGCCCACCCATCCACGTGCCTGCTTGTTTTAATATCTTTTCTGGCCAAGAAACCATCAGGTGGGCTGGCCTGATTCCCTCTTCAGGGAGTGATGTTCCCTTACTTTGCTTGGGAGGGTGGTTGGCAGGGAGAGGTGCAGGAGCGGCTGGGGCAGTGTGCTTCCCCTACTTCTAGGAGGCAGTAGGATTCTCTTTAAAAGACAATATTGGCTGTTCAGCCTCTCTCCTCCTGTCTTTGGCTAAGCTCTGTGGACCATCACAAAGAAGAGGGTGCAGTTTTTGCAGTCTAGCTGCTCCATTTCTGCTTTCCCTCAGGAACTGCACTGCACAGGTGAGACGACTGCTGTTCAGCTCATAAACAGTTTGCATTTGCATTAATCAGGTGCAGTCGCTATGATTCAAGGTACCTGCTTGAGGTTTTTTGGGGCCATCTGCTAGAAATGGTGTTTGCAATTAAACAAAAGGGCTGCCACAGTGGCGTCTGCTCGGGCAGGAGGGAGTTAAACTGTTTTGTTCCTTAGAAACAGTAGAGTAGTGTAGCAGCAAAAAAAAGCACATGCGCGCACGCACACACACACATACACACCATGCACAATTTTTAAGCAAAACCCATGAACCACTTGGAGTGAGAGCCAGGACTCAGGGATACTGCTCTTCTAGAGGTGCTTCATTGCTTCCCAATGATAAAGCATATGCAGAAAGTCTCCTGTGGTCGGGAGCACTAGAAGAAATGATGCAGAGATAGGTTTGCTTTTACTCTACTAGCATCACATCTAAATGCTGTATGCTGTACAAAATACAGTATGCTGTACTGCTGGCAGGAGCCTGCTACCCCACCCAACCCCTACACACACAGATCCTACCAGGGGGGCTTGTAGGAAAAGCACACCCTTACCATTTGTTCATGCACACTGAACAAATGTGTGCATGAACAAATGCACACATTTGTTCATGCACACCATTGGACCATTGGACAAAAATCCCTGTTGCAAGAAGGGGATTCATTTTCCTCTCTTGCTTCCAGCCGTTCAAAGCAGGCCTGTCCCTTTATTATTCTGCTGTTTTATACATCAGCAAGACTTCAGCATGCAAAATTAAACCATCGCTGCCAGAAAAAAGCTGTATTAGTCAGACCAGACTAGCTACTGCTCCCCAATGAGAGCACATCAAAGGAGCACGCGTGCAGCAAAGAAAGGCGCGCTGAATATTGCATGTCGATTCCGTCATCCCATTTTGGGCTTTTCAACACTTCAGTGAGGTATTTCATCCTCCCAGATTTGTCAACATGTTAGGGAAATGGTTTCTGGCATGTAACACAAGTAGCTGCTGTTTCCCTGGATGGCACTGCGATACAAAAAGGAAAATATAGAAGAGCTATTTCAGTGATCTGCCCTAAACGACTTTGGTGTGTGTTGTCTTTTCTAACAGTAATTTGGTTTGGGAGCGCCTCACTGGAAACTTTCTTCCTCTGAGGCATTTGTCATCATTCCCTCCACAAGGCAGCACTAAAAATACAAGGAGACAGATTCTGCTTCGCGCCACATGGGAAGCTCAAAGCAGATGAAATCCAGGCTGGCAAGATAGGGAGCTGCCTGGCTTAGGAGGGGCTAGACAGCACTGTGCCCTCCAGACAGCCTCACCTAGCAGAGTGGGTTGTTTGAAGCCAGGCAGCCCTGAGGTTTTGCTAAGTTGCACCAGGATTTTCACATTCTCCAATTAAGGGCAGTCTTAAGAGGGATGCCAAGTCTATTGAACAACACAGCTGCTTTTAATGACTTAGTCCCTGATATTGTTCTGCTGAGGGGCTCAAAGCAGTGAGTTGGGGGAAACTGAGCCAATGAGATTAGTGACTTGAGCAAGTTCCTGCTGCACATCAGTGGCAGAGCCAGAAGGGTGGAGAAAACCAGTCTCCTCATAACCAGTCCTTTGCTCCCACCTCTAGACAGCATTGCCTCCTGTAAAACGTGACGC